CACACACACACAGACTCACACGTTTCCTGCACCCCGTGACATGACACAAATCCCGAAATTTCCGCCGTCTAATCCTTTGAAGATATCACACAACTAAAGCAAAAAGTTTTCTTGTTCTGACACGCCGGTGCTAAGTCGTTTGACAACTTTTAAAAAACAAACTGGTGTAGCTGGTCCGGTTGATGGAAACTTTCTGGGAAGCTTTGTGGTGTGTTTGTCGTGCGTATACGTCTCGATCATTAGCTGTTTGGGTTGGGGGGTTTTATGCTTTCTACTTTAGACATTTAATTTTAGTTCCGTAACGGCTGATATTATGTAAAACGGCTAACCGGCTTTAGTTGACAAAGTGCATGTACTGTCAGCCTATTTCTTAGAAACCAAACCTTCAAATCTTGGCGATCGTGACCTTTGGGGAATGCCCGGTCAGTACAATGCAAATATGTTACTGATTGTTAAGAACGATGTCCCGCCAGCCTATTCCTTGGTACTCAAATCTCACAAATCCCAGTTATCATATTCCTTTGAAAGATGTCATCAGTGTGCGAATCTGAGGATGAAACAGCACCCAGACATGGACAGCTGGTGTTTCTGTTAATGAATCATTAATTGTTTGCTGGGGCTGTACCTACAGAACATAACGGTTTTTGCAAGAAAAAAATTAATGCTGAAGAGGGCGCTTTAGAGCGAGACGTTAAAATGTAACATAGAGTGAAAACTGTTGTGTTGCGTGTAACCTGAAGGAGTCCCTCATCCGAGTAGAGGCAGACACGGAGATAGCAATCTCGTAGCTACGTGTGGTATGTATCAGTTTCCGACCCCGGAGGTGATTTCCCTCTTTACAGGGTACTAGTTAAGCAAGGGTTCCAAGTGGTCGCTTGATGTACGCTGTCACAAAATATTGCCATTCCAGTATATAGAATAAGATCTGCGTTTGTCAGCTGAGTGCTGCTTTGTTTTCATACAGGAGTATGCAATCAGAATATAAAGTCTTCTAATTCGCCACAACAGCACTGATGTTACAATCAGTTATTTTAACACATATCCTAGTTGACGCTAAACGACATTGCAACAGACGGTATTATGTTCTGTGTCTACTAGTGAAGACGTTCAAGACAAGTTCTTTTTTGTGGCTTTCTTATACGTGTCGTGATAGTTCTTAACCCCACGCCGACGGAAAAGAAGACGTCACAGTTGCTATTTTTACTCCTTCCGTACCGTGGAACAATAATTACCCTGATATAATAGACACAGTGAAAGAGATGGCACAATCTGTTTGCCACAAGGCATAGAAAGAGCTAAAAATGAAATTCTCATAGTAAGTACACTGTGAAGAGAGCTTTTACCTCCTAGGGCGACTCGGGTAGATCGTTTTCGTCACATTCCTCTCCAGCGACCGGGAGTCGGCGCAACACAATACACGTTGTCGTGTAATCAGCAAACAGTCACTCGGCCAAACATACTACCTAGGACTACCCAATACTGTTGTTTTCAGAGCTATAGAGTTATTTTGTTTTTGACTATGGTCTCAGTCCACTTGGCGGTCTACCGCAATGTTTTTGTTCTCCAAGACAGTTTACCATCAGATTAGTCTGACAATTGAAGACCTGAGAACAAGACTGTGCCTAAGTCGTTCTTGGGGG